GTTTGTGATCTGTTTCTAGCGTGATGTGCTTGCCCACAATGTAGTCTTTAAACTTGTCACAGCTCCATGTTAATGATAGAGCTTCTCGTTCAATGTTAGAGTAGTTTCGTTCAGTTTCGCTCAGAGTGCGTGAAATATAAGAAATAGGCTTCCAATTCCCATCTGATTGTTGTTGTAAAAGTACTCCACCCAGGCCTTGTGTAGAAGAGTCAGCAGAAATCATAGTCGGTTTATTTTTATCATAGAATGCAAGTTGAGGTGGAGAAGCCAATAACTCTTTCAATTCATCGAATGCTTTTTGTTGTTCACAACCCCAACACCATTCGTTTTTTCTACTTAATAGGTCAGTAATGGGTTTTAGTAACCGGCTTTTATTAGGTATGTATTTGCCAATGAAGTTCACCATACCAAGTAACCTTTGAACTCCTAAAATATCTGTTGGAGGAGCCATTTTTCGTATAGCTTCGACTTTGGTCTCATCGACTTTGATTCCTGATTCAGATAAATGGTGACCTAAGTAGGTTAGCGAGGTTTGAGAGAACAAGCATTTGTCTTTGTTTAGGGTGAAGCCAGCACCTTCAAGTTTGGTAAGTACTTCTTCTAAGAAATAGTCATGTTCTTGTTGAGTTTTCCCCCAAACAATTATGTCGTCCATATGCGCAAGTGCATTCATTTGACCTTTAAGGGTTCGATTCACGCATTCTTGGAACACTTCTGGTGCAGATGTTATTCCAAAGGGTAGTTTCAGAAATTTAAAACGTCCAAACGGTGTCAGGAACGTTGTCAAATCTTGGGATTCTTCGTCCAATGTGATCTGCCAGAATCCGTTATTAGCATCCAATTTAGAATAGCATTTTGCTTCTGAGATTTGGGCAAGTGTTATGTCGATGGGTTGAATAGGATAGTATCTTCGTTTGACGCATCTGTTTAATTTAGTAAGATCTACACAAATGCGAACTTTGTTAGAGTCCTTCTTTGGCACAACAACCATTGGAGAGCACCAGTCTGTGGCATGGTGTACCTCAGCGATCACCCCCATTGACACCATTCTTTCAAGCTCTTCTTTAGTAGATTCCCAAAGAGGAAGAGGAATCCGACGAGGCGTGTTGATTGCAAATGGATTGGCGTTATTTTTCAGTTCTACTTTGTATTTGACATCAATGGAACCTAAGCCTTCAAACAGTTTGGGGTGTCTGTCATACCAGTCATTACTGGATGGCTGTATTTCGTTGATTCGAGCAAGTAACTGCAAACTTGTTATTGCAGGTTTACCTAGAAGTGGCTGGGAAGTGCCCTTAGAAACATATATAGTCTCATAACATGTTTTTTGATTATGTGATAATTTTACAGTAGCAGTTCCTAAAATTGACAGAGCTTGACCATTTGCACCACTAAATGTTTTGGATGTAGGATTGAGCCTGATTTTCTTATTCAGTTTAATGTCGGAAGGCAAAATCGTTACGTCTGCTCCTGTATCAATTTTGAAAAGAACATCATCACTGTCATTCATATTTAACACTACAGACCATGGATCATCACGCAAGTTTTTTCCTACAATGCCAATGAATGTTTGAGGGTCTATGTACTGCGAGCAAACATTTTCAATGGGTGTTTCAAGGTCAGTATCATCATATTCAATTTGACTGACTTTGTTTGATTTGCAAACATTTGGAAAATGACCAACTTTTTTACAAAACCCACATTTGTATTGTTTAGCTGGACAGTTGAATTTTTTGTGTAAAACTGTCGAACCACACCAAAAACATCTCTTTTCGACATGGGACAGGCTTTTATTGTCATTAATCCGCTTAAAATTTTGATCATTGTTTGATTTATTGGGAATAATGTTTGTCTTAATTAAATGTTGAGTATTTTTATTTATTAATGCTATGTCAGTCAAGTTAAGAGTTTGTTTCTGTCTTGATAGTTCTTCAGATCTACGGATAGTGTTTATAGCTGTGTTTAGTTTTAATTCGGGTTCAAGTTGAAGACGATCACTTAGTGTTTCGTCCCGCATACCAATAATCAAACCCATCAGAATCATCTCCTCTTCAATTTGACCCCAATCACAGTTTTTTGCATGATTGTGAAGGTCTGTGATAAAGTTCTCAATCGGCATGGAACCTTGTGTAAGTTTTAGAAACCTAGCCCGTTCAAAAATTAAGTTCTTTTTAGGAAGGAAATGATCGTCAAACTTCTGTATAACAGCTTTGAAATTAGATTTGTCATTGTCATTTAAACTGAATGAATTAAGTATGTCCTCTCCCTTTTCCCCCATACAGTAGATAAGCATGTCAATCTGATGCTTTCCAGAATGTAGAGCTAAATTACTAAGGGAATAATACCTCTCAAAACGAGTCTTCCATGTCTTCCAGTCCTGAGGGTTGAAGGAAAAGGCTTCAGGAGGCTTAATGTTTAGGGATACGGGTTCTTCATTCGACTGCGCCATGTTCTATTTCTTATTTAAATAAGAAATTAAAAGATCAAAAGAAACTAAACTGTTTTAATCAAGACACTAATACAAGAATAATATTATTATAGAAAAGTAAATAAAATCATATGGTTAAATATTAGTTAAATAAGCAGAGAGGTTAAACACATACTATACAGCTTGATGTCACTGAACCCTAATACATTTCTAACAGCTTATAACCAGATTCAGATTCAGATTCAGAAACACTTTATTCAAGATTTACATTTTACAAATATAAATGCAGAATGGCGTCAATAAATACAATTAATTCTATAAAATATTATCAAAATGCTCACTAAATGAGTAGTAACATTTGCTTAATATAAATATTTTCAATTTCTTTTTAAATGTCTTAATATTATTAATTTCCATTAAATCTTTAGGCAGAGCATAAAAAAACCTAGTACCTGCAGCAGTGGGTTTTTTATTATAAAACTCTAAATTATGCCTCTGGATGGCTGGGTAGTTCCGATGCCGAGTATTATAATTATGTGACATTCCCAATTTTGGAAGTGTATGTGTATTCATTTCACTTTTTAGATTAATTATAGTTTTATAAATATATAATCCATACACTGTAAAGATATTTAATTTAGCAAAATACTGTTTTGCCGATTGGTTTTCTCCCAAGTTTAACATGATACGTATGGCTCTCTTTTGTAAAATTAATATACCATCTAAATTTTGAATGGTTGTTGCACCATATAATTCAATGCCGAATGCAATATGTGAGTTTATGTGAGCATAGTAAACCTTCAGTAAAACATTCAACGGGCAGAGTTTAGACAAGTTGTGCAGCATAAATAGACCTGAACAAATTTTACTTTTTAGTTTATCAATGTGGTACAACCAAGATAAATGTTGATCAATTATTAGTCCTAAGAATTTAGTTTGAGTCACTTGAATTAAGTAATTGTTATCAATTTTTAAATTAGGTTTTAAAGGTTTTTTTTGGGCAGTTGAAAAATTTATATAATTGGTTTTCTCTGAGTTAAGCAATAAGTTTTTGCAAGATAAATATTCATATATAGATTCAAGGCTACTATTGCCTATATATTCAATGTCATTTTTTGATCTACCAGAAACTATTAAATTTTCCACACCAAAAACCACACCCTGCGAAACTGAAAACATGATAGAAAATCTAAATAAATTGTATGATAATTAGCTAGGCAAAGGAAACTGTCACCCGTGACACAGGAAGTTTCACCCGTGACACGGGAAGTTTCACCCGTGACACGGGAAGTTGGCTCTAATTGACCTGATCTAAGTTTTATTTATTTATTTTTTGATATTTTTGAAAGATTGAGCTAAACACATACGTAAAGTACTATAAAACTGTCATCCAAGTGATTACACATAATGTAAGGGATTGTAGATAAAAACTGGTAGAAACCAATACGAATCTTAAGTTGTTTAAGTTTTTTAAGGATGTTTTTGAGGACACTATTGAATTGAAATGCTATGATTACGGTCTCCCTATATAGTGTCACAATATAGTGTACACAAGTACTCAGTGTGTATATAGGTAATGTAAGTTTAATAATCCCGTCTAATGTTTTTGTGTTTACTGTAGTTTGTTTGTTGAGCTAATTTAGTCTTTAATGTAACATATAGAAGATTGGAAGCCTAGTTTTGGCTAGAAAAATGTCTAAGGTTAGACAGAGGAGAAATGTTAGGGATACAGTACTGCAAACTTGTAGACCAGCTGATTTCCACACTTATTGACATTTCAAAGTTAATTAAAAATACACTTTTCTTCTTTAATTTTTATTGGTTGATTCCTTGGTCCAACCAACTTGATTTTAGCGAATTTCCCTATAGGGAAGTAGCTATTACCGTAGGTGGCATGGTAAAACCTAGGCCCGGGACCGATTTACTTTTTAATTTTGATGTCCCCAGAGGCCAAAAACACCATTCGTTCAAATTTATATATATATATATAGATTTTTATATATATGTGTCCGTAAACGCGATAACTTGAGTAATTTTTGTCCGATTTTGATGAAATTTGGTTTAAAGGTGTAAGGCGAGATAAACTTGAATGAGTTCGCGAACCAGCATGATCGGACCATGGGAACGGGGTTTCCCGGTGGGTTTTATGGGGTAAAAATTGGTTTTTCTCATTTTTGACCTCCAAAACAAAAAATTTTCCAATTTATCTCTAGACCATATTAAAGAGCTTAAAAAAACAAATAATTTAGTATATCAAAGTGTTTTTGTACGGTTATTGGTAACAGAGAAAATTCAAAAAATTGAAAATTAAAAATTCCCATGTTATTCTTATGGAGAATATTGAAAATGTTGTAGTTTGTTTGTTTATGGATATATTTTGATCAAACTAGGCAAATTTATTTATTTTATACTAAGCTATTAATATTTTACTAAAACACACTTTATTAGTTTCAGTTTCCTTGTGGCAGCAAACCTAGGTACTCGTTAAACCTAAATAGATTCAATTGAAAATCATTCAGATAAATGGAAATTCGCTTACTCGGCAGGTTTGCTGTGGCGGGGGTATTATTATTTAATAAAGTGCATTGTACAATGTGTCGACAAACCTGTTGACTATGTGCTCGTAACGTTCAAGATCTTGTTTCATCTTCACCATAACCTCTCCCCAAACATAACCCCCAACGGAGAAGCCATGGACAAAGAGGGGTTCGTTTGTGGAGTTCTGATCAAGGAAACTCAGTACTTCGTCTGCCACCACCTAAAATATTGTAGCATGTTAAAAAAATTAAAAACATTGATATTTAATTGAAAAATACAATTTCCACAAGTTTAGAGTAATGCATATTGTGAAAATTTATACTTGTCTTCAGTTTCGATCATCACCATGCAGTGATGTAGTCGTAAATTTTCCAGTGCAGGAACGTTTACCATCGTCATGGGAAAATTTCAAGCCATATATTAATATGTCGGTTGAATTGAAAAAGCAGTGTAGGAACGCCGTTTCCGCTCCAATACACAGCTAACACATTTCTAAATTGCAAAATGATCACTTAACAGAATATTGACATTGACTAACCAGATAGTTTACACCTACATAAATTTGTGTGTGCAATGAAGCTATAACTTTCAGCAAGTTTCCATAATTTATGTTTTGTGAAAGCCTTGTGTTAATAAAAGAACTTAGCCCTTCCCGGACTATAGGCGGTGTAAAAAAGAGGATAACCCTGTAACCACAGTGATCATCTACGCAGACACTCTGTTCACATTACACTTAGTCGACCAGTTGGTCCGCCTGTATAGTTGATTATACATAGCAACATTAATCTTTGTAAAAACGATATTTTATTCAATTATATCTATAACCAATGTACTAGGAATGTTTTTTTCTAAAAGAATAAACAAATTTAACAACAAAAATAATTTTTTAAATAAAATAAAATATTTTGGACAAAAGTGCTGCATAGGTCAACTAATTACAACATTTAATAATTTACAGATGTAAAAAAAACTTTTCTGCTGTCTGTATACATATTATAGGCCGTCCAGGAAGGGTTTAACAAATAAATATTTTGGATATTAATATTATTTTGGATATATTAATATTTTGGATATTCTTTGTCACAGAGAAATGGTAGGCCGTAACCTTAATATAAGGAGTGATTGTTAAAGCAAATTTTCCGTATAGGGAATAAGCTATTACCAAAGGTCTCACAGTAAGATCTACTACAACTCTTTACTTTCACTTTTTGACATCACTGGAGACCAAAAACATTTCTAAAAATGTATAAATTTATGTGTGTGTGTATGTCCGTAAACCGATATTAACATCACTACTTAATAACTATAATATATACTACTGTATGACTGGTCCCACCTGACTGCCAGTGACTGGGAACAGCAGCTGCCAAGGAGTAATGCTGATGGTCAACACATTGCAGCCTCGGTTGACATAGAACTCACAGTACTTGTTAATATGTTTCTTCTGGGCTAACATCCATGATAGAAGTACAACCAGGGGTCGTGGTGTGTCATTGACCAAACGACCTTGAGTCACCTTGACAGAGTCAGCTGTCACTAGCTCCAGAGACTTTGACAAAGCCTGGCGAGATAGAGCCCTTATCTGTGACATCATCACCACACCAGCACTCTGCAACATCACCTCAGATGAGTCACCTTGACAGAGTCAACTGTCACTAGCTCCAGAGACTTTGACAAAGCCTGGCGAGATAGAGCCCTTATCTGTGACATCATCACCACACCAGCACTCTGCAACATCACCTCAGATGAGTCACCTTGACAGAGTCAACTATCACTAGCTCCAGAGACTTTGACAAAGCCTGGCGAGATAGAGCCCTTATCTGTGACATCATCACCACACCAGCACTCTGCAACATCACCTCAGATGAGTCACCTTGACAGAGTCAACTGTCACTAGCTCCAGAGACTTTGACAAAGCCTGGCGAGATAGAGCCCTTATCTGTGACATCATCACCACACCAGCATTCTGCAACATCACCATATGAGTCACTTTGACAGAGTCAGCTGTCACTAGCTCCAGAGACTTTGACAAAGCCTGGCGAGATAGAGCCCTTATCTGTGACATCATCACCACACCAGCATTCTGCAACATCACCATATGAGTCACTTTGACAGAGTCAGCTGTCACTAGCTCCAGAGACTTTGACAAAGCCTGGCGAGATAGAGCCCTTATCTGTGACATCATCACCACACCAGCATTCTGCAACATCACCATATGAGTCACTTTGACAGAGTCAGCTGTCACTAGCTCCAGAGACTTTGACAAAGCCTGGCGAGATAGAGCCCTTATCTGTGACATCATCACCACACCAGCATTCTGCAACATCACCTCATATGAGTCACTTTTACAGATTCGCTGTCACTAGCTCCAGAGACTTTGACAAGGCCTGACGAGACAGAGTCCATATCTGTGACATCATCAACACACCAGTACCCTACAACATCACCTCATATGAGTCACCTTGACAGAGTCAGCTGTCACTAGCTCCAGAGACTTTGACAAAGCCTGGCGAGATAGAGCCCTTATCTGTGACATCATCACCACACCAGCACTCTGCAACATCACCTCAGATGAGTCACCTTGACAGAGTCAACTGTCACTAGCTCCAGAGACTTTGACAAAGCCTGGCGAGATAGAGCCCTTATCTGTGACATCATCACCACACCAGCACTCTGCAACATCACCTCAGATGAGTCACCTTGACAGAGTCAACTGTCACTAGCTCCAGAGACTTTGACAAAGCCTGGCGAGATAGAGCCCTTATCTGTGACATCATCACCACACCAGCACTCTGCAACATCACCTCAGATGAGTCACCTTGACAGAGTCAACTGTCACTAGCTCCAGAGACTTTGACAAAGCCTGGCGAGATAGAGCCCTTATCTATGACATCATCACCACACCAGCACTCTGCAACATCACCTCATATGAGTCACCTTGACAGAGTCAACTGTCACTAGCTCCAGAGACTTTGACAAAGCCTGGCGAGATAGAGCCCTTATCTGTGACATCATCACCACACCAGCACTCTGCAACATCACCTCATATGAGTCACATTGTTTACAGCTCATTTTGCTATATAAACAATTAGCTGTTTTGTTGAGTAAGTTATCAACTATTTGGCCTGATTTGGTTGTTTGATTTAAGTTAGATGTACGATATAAAATACTTCTCTGCCTAAATATAAAAAAAATAGCCTAGACAAATTATACAGGGTGTTTTTTTATGTAGGCTATGTCAATGTTTTATTCGAAGATTTGGTAAGTTTTTCTCATATCAGCCTACACAAGATTTAAAATTAATCAAAACCAAAATGGCGGTATCCACTACTTACCAGATTTAAAAGTCATAAAACTTAAACGTTTGTATTAAGGCTATAAAAGTAGAATTTTGTTTCTAAAAGCGTTGGCGGATGTGTAACTATTATATGCAACAGATGTGCAAAAGATATGCAAAAGATTAAAATGTTTCTATTTTGTGTCCTCTTCCCGTTGCAAAGCACGGGTAAAACAGCTAGTATCAAATAAAAGAGCATGAAAAAAGAAAATGTTTGGTGAAAAAAATGGAAAATCGGCTCATGAATTTGTGAGATAATCCCCCCCCCTTTCCCCCTACCCATTACTTTTTTTTAATAGCAAGGTACCCCTTGTGACATATCAAATGAAAGAGCATGAAAAAATAAAATGTTTGGTGAAATTCATTTTTCATTTGATATGTCACAAGGGGTACCTTGCTATTTAAAAAAAAAGTTATCGGTAGGGGGAAAGGGGGGGATTATCTCACAAATTCATGAGCCAATTTTCAATTTTTTTCACCAAATATTTTCTTTTTTCATGCTCTTTCATTTGATATGTCACAAGGGGTACCTTGCTATTAAAAAAAAATATAAGTTCCGGTGAAGGGGGGGGGGATATCTCACACATTTATGAGCCAATTTTAAAATTTTTTTCACTAAACATTTTATTTTTTCATGCTCTTTCATTTGATATATTACAAGGGCATATGCAACGCCCTTGCATATTTAAAAAAAAATAAGTTGGTGGCCGGGGGGAAAGGGGGGAATGTGAATGTAACGTTCACAACAAAACAATTGGGCCCCCTACGTCAATAGATGATTCCCGCAAACTGCATTTTTCTATCTATTGCGGTTTTTACATAAAAAAAGATGCAAGTTTTTAAAAAAACACCCTATAAGAATAAAAAAAAAATTAATATTAGTGTAGATACAGTTAGTTATCTTTAGAAGCTTTGTTAAACCGGGTTTTCCTAGACGCGGAAGAGGAGCGCCGAGAGCGGAAAAGCGATTAATATGACATTCCACTCCGCTTCTAGGAAAACAGTAACCTAAAATTACCTAAGACAAGAGGAGTCCGCTCTCCGCGTTCCTCTCTCCGCGCTCTGCTTCCGCGCCTAGGAAAACCCAGCTTTACTGAATATGGCCAGCTGCCTATGTATTTATTAGGACCTTTTATTCAAAGTCCAATTATCAAGAAAAGGGGTATTTGGTTTAGAATAATCCAAAAGTTACTGACTTGTCTAGTTTGAGATCTTGTGGTCTTTTTACTGACTAAGGCTGATATGTTCCTTAGACGGGACTGTTGATTAATAGCCAATACAGTCATATACCTTTGGCAAAGTATACATTCCTTCTACATGAACCAGCTGTAGCCAATTTCTTATTCAAAGAAAACATTTTAGCTGTATCGTGACATTGTCGATAACTTGTAAAAATTTAAAATACAATAAATAATATTTTATTTCATTGTTTGATGAGCCAGTCACATATTGGACTAGTGTCTAAAATATTATGTTTTCTACCTTTTTAGTTACTGAGATAGTTGACGTGGCATAAAGGATGATAGCTTACAATATGTCGTCCTATCAATCAGACTTGTTTAAAGTAGTCTGCATATTCAAGTCCGCAATATCAGTAATTTATATCAGCGCAATTTGACGGTAGTTCACTTCAACTAAGTTTGTTTTGATTTTAAAACCTGCGACAACTAGGCTATAACATAGCCCTCAACCGGTGCCGTATCACGTGTTTCGTTACCGCCTGGTCAACCAGTGTTAAATGTTCAGTTTCGTGTTTTTGTGTTTTTATGTCGTGTCTATGTTATTTATTTACTACTATAAACTTTCGACGAACTCCATCATGAGGAATATCTAATGACTGCTTGACATTCTCACGACCTGATGATGTGCTCCTGCAGCACGAAACAGCTGTAGTCACTACGAACTACATAGGATCGTTTTGGACAGAACAAGGTAATTTAAACCACTATACGCTATAACATAGGATGGAATGTATAGTTCTGTCAATAATACAAGATATGTGCATTATTCTCAGGGTTTTATGACAGGGATTTTCAACATATTTGATTGATTTTAAATATATTTGGTGGACTTATAAATTAAAATGTTTTATTCTGAGTTATGTGAAGCTAAAATTAAAAAGAAAAACAAAACTAAACAAAAATATTTTATATTTATAGTGATTAAAATGCTTAAAACAAATGTAGGCCTATAATAAACTAAAACCTACAGTTATAGAATATCTTTTTTATATAGAAAACTATACACACCAATTAAGGAAAATCAAGCAATCTGTCCCTTGATGAATGTACAGTACTCTGTAGGCCTACTTACAATATTTTACGATCGAAGCCATTTCATAACTCATTACTTTCAAAGAAGCAAGGTTGCTCTGCAGAAAATACCAGACTAGAGTTACTATTCAAATACTGATGTTACAAGTAATGCTCAATGTGAATCAAACAAATATTGACAAAATGAGGCAAAGATGCTGGTGATAGTTTTATCATTTGATACCAGTCACCAATATGTGTTATATTTGTTGGTATATTTTGCACATTCGAACTACTAAAAACATAGAATTCTGGTAATATACTTAACAATGGAAATTTTTCCTTTGCAACCACAATAACACGATTAATAAATAATAAATAAATAAATAAAAATGCCTTTATTTGCAAGCGTCTTTCAGTACAAGAACTGTTTTACAAAGTAACTCATGTCAATATAACTAACTTAAAAATATACAAAAATTAGGATAAAAAAACAATGTGTATGACAAAACAAAATTATAAGCTATATACAATACTTTACATCTTCTTTACTTTTCTTTTGAAAGCCAGGACCCCCAGCTGTTTTAGGTCCAAGGGGAGATCATTATATATCTTTGGGCTAAAGTAAGAAAACCCTTTTCTACCCACTTCTAGTCTTACTTTTGGAATGTGGAGCAAGGCGTTCTGCCGGGTCACACGTTGAGTCACCTCCCCACGTGCCACAAGCCTCTCCACCAAGTACTTAGGCTCTTGCTGAACCAAGACCCGGTGGATGAGGCTACAAGTCTGCTCCCTGCACACGGCACCCATTGACAGCAACCCTGCAGCATCCCGAAAAGGGGATACGCGTTCACGCTTACGGATACCGTAAACGAAACGAATGGCGGAGTTCTGCACTTTTTGCAATCGGGACATCTCTTCCCTTGAGATGCTGTTGCCGTATGCAGGAAAACAGTAATGGAGCACTGACAACACTAGTGACTGTACCAGCTGCAGCTTGGCTGTCTCTGGTAGGATGTTTTTGTACCGGTACAGACCACGCAGCCTTCCCAAAGCCACCTGGGAAACATAAGTGATGTGGTCCGAGAAAGTGAGGCCACTGTCAAGTACCACACCCAAGGTCTTGACGGTATCCCTCACCATTAGAGGTTTTCCTGCGATTTGAACGTGCATGTCTCCATTTGCAACTCTGTGAAGATTAGTGGGTGTAGCAATATGAAGAATCATGCATTTTTCAGAGTTCAATTTCAAACCATGTTTGCGTGACCACTCACTTATTCTCACCAGATCAGAGTTCACTCCTGCAAAAGCTTGATCAGCAGCCTGAATCTCATAGGAGAAATGCAATTGGCAGTCATCGGCATATGAATGCACATTGCAGTGACTCACACATCTGGACAGATCTGCAGTGTACAGGGTAAACAAAATGGGCCCCAGACAGCTCCCCTGAGGCACTCCCCTTGATTTCTCTAGAGGAGGTGAGATATCGGTACCCACCCTGGTAACTTGCAGTCTGTTTTCCAGGTAAGATCTAAACCAAGCAACCGCATTGCAATGAAAACCAAAATGTTTCAATTTTGCTAGGAGCAAACCATGGCTTATGGAATCAAAGGCCTGTGAAAAATCAAGCATGACTACAGAGCTACACCTGCCCTCGCTCCTCGCCCTAAACAAGTCTGCAAACATATTCATCAATGCAGTACAGGTGCTATGGTTCTTTCTGAACCCTGATTGCAGTTTGGGAAGCAGATTCTCTGCATCTAAAAATTCGGTTATTTGGCGTATTACTAATTTTTCGAGCACTTTGGACATAGCAGGCAAGACCGATATTGGCCTTAAATCATTAAAGTTTGAAGGAATCTGTTTTTTGGGCAATGGATGTACCATACTTTTCTTCCACGCGTGTGGAAATTCACTGTTTACAAGAGACATATTCATAAGGTGAGTTATTGCATCAATGGCATAAGGGCTGACGGCTTTTATCATTGCAATACTTATGTCATCAACACCGACAGCTCTAGAGGTAATTTCATTAATAGCTTCCCTCACTTCTGATACTGATATTTTTCTTAACTGGAATTTATTTACATTACGTGTATCTTCATTATATAATCTAATCAAATCTGCATCTGCTTCAAAAAATGATCCCATTTTTACAAAAAAATCATTCATTTCACTGACCCTAAAATCATTTGGTAAATTATTTCTGCCCTTTCCTGCTACTATATCACTCTGTTTAAGGCATTTCCAAAACGCTCTTGTATCTTTACAATCTGCCAGTTTTTCTGAGAAAAAATTTCTTTTTGCTTTCCATACAGCCCCATTCAGTTTGTTTCTAACTTTTTTATAATCTATCCAGTCGACATTCTGTCCCGAGCTTGAAAATTTCCTCCTTAATTTATTTTTCATTTTTGTTAACACAATGATTTCATTATTTCTCCAAGGTGCTTTTTTCTTTGTCACTCTCTTTGTTACTAGCGGCGCATGTTTATCATTAACTGCTAACGCTCACTGGCACCAGGTAGTTTTCTTGTAAGATCTACCACAGAGACAATATAATATTACTAGACTCTTCTATCTACTATCCAAACAGTATATAAGCCTGCTGGATTGAAATTATGTAAACTACTAAGACAGAGATTTGGGACTGCAGATGGAGGTAAGAACGCATTGTCAGATTAGTTACTACAATAGTTCTGTTTCTGAGTTGTCAAAAGAGAACTTTGAACTGTGGATACCAGATATGTTTAGAAAAATAAATTTTTAAGTACCTATTCTCTAAACAACTATAAAAACAAAATTCATAACACATTATAGGTCAAATTGACAATAGCGACCACCTGGCTGTTGCATGAGGTTAGTTTTACAAAAGATGTAAGTAAAAAACGCACATCAGGTGAAATGTCGACCTTAAATCTTCACGGTTACGTCAATATTGGCTAACAAGGATCTGCAATTAAAAAATCGGTCAAGGCCGAACAACCCAAGTCTTCAGAGTTTGGTCGGGCCTCACTCACATGTCTGTGGCACACATTGTAATGGTGTGTTACATTAACATACAAACTCCCACCAACTTCACTCAGACCAGACCAGAACTGACTGATCAAGTGAACAGTGTTATCTACACAAGATGGGAATTCAAGTTAAAAGCTTCTTATGTAGAAAATGTGGAGAGGAGGAGACAGCCTTCCGCGTGATATTTAGGTGCCCAGCCCAACAAGGTCTATGTGTGAGATTCCTTGGCCTATCGACTGGAGATTAAAGGGAAGAACAGGTTACCATAGTCAAAAGGATCTCATGGTTTACTAAGAACCTGGGATTTGACAAAGAATGAGGACCTGTGAATGAGGGTGCCCAACAAGCTGTTTCAGCTGTGATGCAATCCCATGGTTTACTTATAAGCCTAGCACTCTTAAAAAAAGTGTTCTTCTGTTTGGTTATGTGCGATTTAGTGATTAAATTGTTATGTCACAGTCACAGTTAGATTTTGACCCTTTTATAGAGGCAATCGAATAGAGGTCCTTTAGTAAAATTGACAGCCAACATCAGATTGCACCTGGCATCCCTTTTCGTTTTTCTTAATGTAAGAATAATTTTTATTTTTTAATGTGCTAAAAAACAAATTAACTACAAAATGTTCAACTTGACACCAAAGCTTCATATACCAAAGGTAGTCGTGCTCTGGCAGCATGGTGAATAATAACGATCAGTCGAGAGTCGACTGACGATTCGAGTAATGCCTGTTGTGATGATTAGTCGTGGGCTTGATCGCCATTACCTTAACAAACCAGCCAAAAACTATGAGTATTCCCTGCTAATTTAGCGCTTAGTATTGATTACCTTACAATCATTAAGAATATTGCCCCACAATGTGATATTTGCAGCTTAGAAGTTTTGCCTTTTATTTCAAATGTGTTTCCCACGACAAAGAAGGTACTGAAACTATATCAATATAGGTATATTTGTGTAAAGCTTCAATCAGCTCACTTTTGCAACACTAAGCATCGGAGGCCTTGAGATTCTTATTCCATTCCAATGATCACAATAACTATCCTAAATTAAACATATGGTAGGGGATTGTGGACAAATTGTGCTAGGGGATTGTGGAACAAATTGTGGACATTGTGGAATTATTGTGTAAGAAAAATCATGCTCAGTATTATTGTTAAGTGATAGACATGATCCGTGGATGCGATACTCCCTCGTGTGGATTAAGGATCGCACAAGTAGAGTACTACGACTATCCACAGTATTATCCTGATAATTAGAACAATGCGTAAAATACAAGTCAAAATTGTGGTTCGGATTCCACTTTGTACTGAAGGTCCCTTAGTTGTCATTGGCGGTATGGGCTATTAATTAACAGTCCTGTCAAAGGAACATGTCCGGCATATTGGTGGTGCAAAGGGAATTTGATGAGTTTGTAATTTGGGGAGGAGGTAATTGAAGTTTATAAGGTTTAGTTCTAATGGACTAGGATATTTCAATTCAATATCCTTACACACTTTGTCAGTTTGCTAAGAGCCAGTAACAAACCACTTACAAATGATCACACATATTAATGAGGCGGAATGGGCACACGGGAGGGACTTAGGCTAAAGGTGTAGTGACGTCATATCATATCTCTAGTGGCTAATGTCTTCTCTTGAGGCAACACGATTACCGTAACAAAACAATTTGATTTTAGCGGCGTTCGTGGCATAGTTGGTAGCGTTTCGGATTGGTGTTCAGGAGGTCCTGGGTTCGAATCCCGCTGGCAGCTCTAACTTTTTGTCAACAAATTTTTCATATCAGCAAGTTTGGTTGGTTAGGTTAGGTTATGACAGTTTAATTTTAAAATACTAAATTTTAAAATTAATTTTATAATTAATTAAAAATTATTAATTAGATTTTTATCTTATTTAGGCTAGTTTTTATATTATCAGCAAGTCTGGTTGGTTAGGTTATGTTATGACAGTTTAATTTTAAAAATTAATTTTATAATTTTAAAACAATATTTTATAATTAAAAAGTTAATTTTATAACTAAAAATAAAAAATAAAATTAATCTAAATTTTTTCAACTTAGCAGTTCTAGCGGCAAACGCTGACACTACAAGATATGTTAGCCTTAGTCCCTCCCGTGTGCCCCACCGTTAATGAGGCTATACGGCACTGAGTGTTATGACATTATTTTAAACTGAACACATGCTTCCTTAACGGATATTTTTGTAAATTAAATATCCAACGATAAAAATTAAAAAAAAAATTACCAAACTGCTTTAAATTATAAGAGTGATAGTTGTATGACATTATTTTAAACTGAACACATGCTTCCTTAACGGATATTTTTGTAAATTAAATATCCAACGATAAAAATTAAAAAAAAAATTACCAAACTGCTTTAAATTATAAGAGTGATAGTTGATTACAAACACTGTACCTATGTACTAGTAGTAAATGCAACGTACTACAGTATGAGTCATTGGTTAATAATAATCATTATCATACATGAGTAGCGAACGCTTATCAGGTTGAATTCTTTCCATCTATATCAGAATAAACCAGCAAGTCAAAGACAATAAAATGTGCTTACATACCATTATGAATAACCTAACTCTGTTAACATCATTTACAAACAAAGGCAAACCGTGTGGTGGTGATAAGACTCAGTTTGGGCCACTTAGTTATGCAGTCATAGTCGATTACTAGATGTAAATAGTGTAGTGCCGGCCTTGAAACGTTGTTTAACACTCATTGTCCATTAGGGACTAATTAATTGATTGGAACAATAACCAAGCAATTTTCAATTGTGGTCCAGAAGCAATCAAAGATGCAAAATAAGAGAGAGATGTTCTTTTGTTAGTTATTTAAATTCTGATTACATAGATTTACAGTAAAACACTTAAAAAGTAAAATTTTAAGGCCCACGCATTGCCTAAATTAATTATAGATATAGATGTAATGTTATGACTTACACTTTTCACGTTCCCTTTGAATGGAGTGTTGCTATACCTCGTAGTTAGAAGGCCAACAGACATAAGTGATTTCAGTACCACCATCTTTCCAACAAAAGGCTACGTTGTTCACTTGTAGAGTAAAAGGCACCATGCAGACACACTCTAAAACAACATAAGCAAGTTCATATTGGTCAAGTTTCTAACTCTTTGATGGTTCAAACCCGTGGAATGTTGGAATTTTGCACACCTGAAGATTCCTTTTCTGCTCTGTACAAATAAAACAAAAGAAAATTTACAGATCTCAGCTTTTAGAATCAGGTCAGAGTTTAGGGTTTAAGGAAGACAGCAAGCAAGCAGCTTTGGCAGACCCTCTCCTTATCCGTGTACCCTCACTCAGAACATTTTTGAGAATTAAAAGTAGCTGTAAACCACCTTTGACACTATTTATAGGTTAAACTATTGATTTAAATTTCTGTATTTTTCAACAAATAAATAAACAAAATATTGTAAAACAGAGTATTTTAGGAATTTCACACTCCTTAAGATTGGGCGCTCTGGGATAAAGCCAAATCAGCCCATAGAGGCTACAAAGTGGGGCCTGGAATAAAAGTTGGGTCTAGTCTACTGTAAAATAACTGTCTTACTGTCCCCTATCACCAACATAGGTTAGTATACTGAATTGATATATCCTATCTGTTGACCAGCCTTCTCAGTAGTGAAGCATTTCAGTGTGTGTGAATCCAAAATGAAATAGGTTGTAATTTTAATTTGTTATGACCAAGAAAGTTGGTATGCAGGATAGAAGGGATTATTCCAAATCCAGTATAGTGTGGGGTTTTAACATGGATTTAAAGAAATGGAATGGAATAATGATAACTAGTGGTCGTCCAGTGGTTGAATACTCGACCAAAAACATGTGATGTACAGAAATCTTTATTTACACCCCACACTGTAAGTAAAACATGTAATGATTGGGATTTTGTCAATGTGTTTAGATTTTCTTTTTATATTTCGTCACCAACATGGCAACCCATAAGGCCCATATTCATTTTTTTTTTAATTTTCAATTAAGTTTTGTGCTTATTTTTGAGCCTATTTTATTTTATACATGGTTTCTGCACATCTACGGGCAAATATCTTTCTAACGGTATGCATAGATTTTCCCTGCGATGCACACAAGCTGAGAAAAAAGGTTTTAAAGAAACATGCTTGCCTAATTATAGGATTGTCATAAACCTCGTCTTATCAAAACTCAAACATAATTTTCATGTCGTCGGGGTGACTTGATACCACATTGGCTGTACTTTTGATAGATGCCCTTCTTACAATAATTTTAGTTTCTGGGGAGGACTACAAAATAACTTCAATGTCAATGAGTGGCCCAAACCATTTTAAATGGCCTACCAATCCAGATGTATGCTGGTATAACAAATGTGATATGAAAGAACCATTACACCTCTATTACCCATTAACGCAAGGTGAATGTTCGCAGTCCCCCGAGATGAAAAAATTGAGGCTAAAGGACAAAATCAATGAATAAATGTGTTTAAGAAGCCCTGTAAATAGTGTAGATAATGAACAATTTAATTAAGTTACTTTAAAGCTGACAGTTCTTGAATTTTTGAGAAAGAAACATTTTTTAAATTTAAACCATTTTTTCAAGAAGTATAACTGCGGCGACGTGTAAAATTGCAACATTTCGCTAAGAAGAAAAAATGTAAAATAAGTAATTAAAATTTTGGTTATTATTTTGTTTGAACACACCACTCTTCTAGTTTATGTTAAGGTAAGTAATACTGTGTTTTGGTCCAATATTATTTTTTACAGATTTTTTTATAGTTTTACCAACAAACCCCGCGTTTTGGTTTATAATTTGATTAATAGCTTCAGTAATAATTATGCTAAAAATATGTAAAAAATATCAAAAGATTCAGAACAAAAAGATGGACTCAAATCACCCCTTAAATAAGCCTAATATTGTATTACATTGAAATCACATGCAATCTTATAGGCTGGTATCAAGTGACCCCACTTGCGGGGGTGACTTGAACCGGCAATATTTATTATTTTTTCTTTTACTAGTAACCATGGTAAAAATATATTACTTTGTAAATAGTTAGTATAAGCTAAGACTGTAGGTAATAAGTAGGCTATAAAAAAATATTAGTTCTAATGTGCTTAGTTACAAACATACAATGGTGTAAACTTCAAAAGTGGTATCAAGTCACCCCGTTTTACGGTAGTTAAATTGATAGTTTCAATCAATATTAGTGTAAATCAGTTAAGAAACTGTACCTGTACCCGGAAGCAGTCTTATAAAGTAATAAAGATGGTACAAGTGATTCTTATCGAAGTAGGCTAGACATTAGAAATTCATTAGAAGGATGTGCTTGTGCTATCAACAAACAGTTTCTTAACTGGGCTACGCTAATAATGATTGAAACTATTGATTAAATTAGTAAACCTTCATGCGATTTTTTAACCATCCGCAAGTTTGGTTTGGTTGGTAGGGTTGTGATAGTTTAATTTTATAATAGACCTAGATAAGTTATATTTTAAAATATCGATTAAGTCTATTAACTTAATCAATATTTTCAATTTGATAGTTTCAATCAATATTAGCGTAGCCCAGTTAAGAAAATGTACCCGACAAACTCTTATTTACTAAATCCAAAGTATAGACTGCATCTCTGTTTCGTTTCTGTTGACAAGTTTCTTAATTCTTACATACCTTTGCAAGAGTATGATCCTGCAGTAACCCCTTTGGGGTACAGTTTCTTAACTGGGCTATGCTAATATTGATTGAAACTATCGAATTGAAAATATTGATTAATAATCTATATTTTTTAATAGGCCTAAATCTATATATATAAAAGGCAAAGCCCTCACTGACTGACTGACTAACTGACTCACTCACTCACTCACTCATCACTAATTCTCCCACTTCCAATTTACCTAGGCGGCTGAAATTTGGTACACTGATTCTTTAGGCATTAAATAGGAAAACTAAGTTGTTTTTATTCTGATCGGACTCTCGGGTCTCTGCCCCAGTGGCTCTGGAATTTCCCATGTTAACCTTATGAGTACTCATATTTAAATGGAATTAATGCATCTTAACAGCTGTTTCAATTAAACAAGTTGGTTCTGTTCTATGATGTGCAATAGCATTAAAGTTACAAGGATTACCAACAGGGTGCAGTACTATTATTTTTTTTTAATTTATGACAACAACAGCTAATTTGCAACCAAAAGGTGAATGAGCGTAGCGAACGAACTTCAACCTGGAGGCGAGTTAGCGTAGCGAACGAGCTAACCTGAAGGCAAGTGAGCGCAGCGAACGAGCTCCAACTTAAAGGTGAGTGAGCGTAGCGAACGAACTTCAACCAGGTTGTGATTAAGCCATGCGAACGAGCTCACTAATGAAGTAAAGCGGGGCAAAGCCCGCGGGTACAGCTAGTATAGGTAGCCTATAAAAGGCAAAGCCCTCACTGTCTCACTCACTCACTCATCACTAATTCTCCCACTTCCCATTTACCTACGAGGCTGAAATTCGGTACACCGATTCTTTGGGCATTAAATAGGAAAACTAAGTAGTTTTTATTCTGATCAGGCTTTCGGGCTCCGCCCCAGTGGCTCTGGAGTTTCCCATGTTAACCTTATGATTTTTCACATTTAAAAAGAATTTCTTAACAGCTGTTTCAATTAAACAATTTGGTTATGTTCTATGATGTTCAATAGCATTAAAGTTACAAGGATTACCAACAGGGTGCAGCACTATTATTTTTTTTAAATTTATGACAACAACAGCTAATTTGCAACCAAAAGGTGAATGAGCGTAACGAACGAACTTCAACCTGGAGGCGAGTTAGCGTAGCGAACGAGCTAACCTGATGGCAAGTGAGCGCAGCGAACGAGCTCCAACTTAAAGGTGAGTGAGCGTAGCGAACGAACTTGGTTAATATTGATAGTTTCAATCAATATTAGCATATAGCCATAGACTAACCAACGTTTTATCTATGATATAGCCCAGTTAAGAAACTGTAGGCTACCCTCGATAGTTTCAATCAATATTAGCATAGCCCAGTTAAGAAACTGTACCCAATCTTTGTTCTTCGCGTTTTTGGTACCGGTACCTGAAAGCCGGAAATAGTAGCAGCCTACCGCTACCGTACCGTACAGCACCAATGAGGTAATATTTAGTCAAGATGTAAGCTACAAGAACAAAATTCAAATTCACTCACTTGCACAACTACGAGCTACGACAGATGTCTGTGAAACTGCCAATAAACCAACATTAAGCTATGACGTCACCGTCAGATCAGTAGATCAAGAAGGCCGTGGCATCAAAACTTCCTAACCTCAATTTCATGTATCAAAACGTCCTAACCTCAAACACATGTTTCACGTGTCAAAACTTCCTAACCTCAAAAACATTTTATGTTTAAATCATACGTTTTGAGCAGTTTTAAAGTGTTTGTTTTACTAATGTACCATTTATATGTAACTGAGGTGTCTAAATAAAGTATATTAACCACAAATAACACTTGATTCTATACCATAATTGGATCACGCAATGTACTCCCACGTGCGAAGATAGTATAAAAACCTGAGCTAGTAAAAACAAAAATCTTCAAAAACGGTTAATAAGATTTTGATAATTTTTATGTAGTATAATTATAAGTACTTAAGCAACCTGAGAAATAAATTGCATTCCCATACCATGCTTATGATGGTTTCTATAAGTGGTAGAAGTTGTGCCTGTTCATTTCAAGGCAACTGATTTGCCGATTTAGTTAAAAATGTATATCTCAAAAATCGTTTAAACAATTTTAATCATTTTTATGTAGTATGATCATCATGTTTTAAGCTACCTGAGAAATAAATTGCATTCCCATACCATTGTTATGATGGTTTCTATAAGAGGTAGAAGTTGGGCCTGTTCATTTCTAGGCTACTGACTTGCCGATTTAGTTAAAAATGTATATCTCAAAAATCGTTTAAACGATTTTAATCATTTTTATGTAGTATGATCATAATGTCTTAAGCTACCTGTAAAATAAATTGCATTCCCATACCATTCTTATGACGGTTTCTATAAGAGGTAGAAGTTGGGCCTGTTCATTCCTAGGTTACTGATTGGCCGATATAGTTAAAAATTTATATCTCGAAAACCTTTTACAAGATTTTAATAATTTTTATGTAGTAGGATCATAATGTCTTACTCTAACTGAGAAATAAATTGCATTTCCATACCATGGTTATGATGGAATCTATAAGAGGTAGAAGTTGGGCCTGTTCATTTCTAGGCTACTGACTTGCCGATTCAGTTAAAATTGTATATCTCAAAAATCGTTTAAACGATTTTAATCATTTTTATGTAGTATGATCATAATGTCTTAAGCTACCTGTAAAATAAATTGCATTCCTATACCATTCTTATGACGGTTTCTATAAGAGGTAGAAGTTGGGCCTGTTCATTCCTAGGTTACTAATTGGCCGATATAGTTAAAAATTTATATCTCGAAAACCTTTTACAAGATTTTAATAATTTTTATGTAGTAGGATCATAATGTCTTACTCTAACTGAGAAATAAATTGCATTTCCATACCATGGTTATGATGGAATCTATATGTGGTAGAAGTTGTGCCTGTTCATTTCAAGGCAACTGATCTGCCGATTTAGTTAAGAGAGTATATCTCAAAAATCGTTTAAACAATTTTAATGATTTTTATGTAGTATGATCATCATGTTTTAAGCTACCTGAGAAATAAATTGCATTCCCATACCATTGTTATGATGGTTTCTATAAGAGGTAGAAGTTGGGCCTGTTCATTTCTAGGCTACTGACTTGCCGATTCAGTTAAAATTGTATATCTCAAAAATCGTTTAAACGATTTTAATCATTTTTATGTAGTATGATCATAATGTCTTAAGCTACCTGTAAAATAAATTGCATTCCCATACCATTCTTATGACGGTTTCTATAAGAGGTAGAAGTTGGGCCTGTTCATTCCTAGGTTACTGATTGGCCGATATAGTTAAAAATTTATATCTCGAAAACCTTTTACAAGATTTTAATAATTTTTATGTAGTAGGATCATAATGTCTTGCTCTAACTGAGAAATAAATTGCATTTCCATACCATGGTTATGATGGAATCTATAAGAGGTAGAAGTTGGGCCTGTTCATTTCTAGGCTACTGACTTTCCGATTCAGTTAAAATTGTATATCTCAAAAATCGTTTAAACGATTTTAATCATTTTTATGTAGTATGATCATAATGTCTTAAGCTACCTGTAAAATAAATTACATTCCCATACCATTCTTATGACGGTTTCTATAAGAGGTAGAACATGGGCCTGTTCATTCCTAGGTTACTAACTGGCCGATATAGTTAAAAATTTATATCTCGAAAACCTTTTACAAGATGTTAATAATTTTTATGTAGTAGGATCATAATGTCTTACTCTAACTGAGAAATAAATTGCATTTCCATACCATGGTTATGATGGAATCTATATGTGGTAGAAGTTGTGCCTGTTCATTTCAAGGCAACTGATCTGCCGATTTAGTTAAGAAAGTATATCTCAAAAATCGTTTAAACAATTTTAATGATTTTTATGTAGTATGATCATAATGTCTTAAGCTACCTGTAAAATAAATTGCATTCCCATACCATTCTTATGACGGTTTCTATAAGAGGTAGAAGTTGGGACTGTTCATTCCTAGGTTACTGATTGGCCGATATAGTTAAAAATTTATATCTCGAAAACCTTTTACAAGATTTTAATAATTTTTATGTAGTAGGATCATAATGTCTTACTCTAACTGAGAAATAAATTGCATTTCCATACCATGGTTATGATGGAATCTATATGTGGTAGAAGTTGTGCCTGTTCATTTCAAGGCAACTGATCTGCCGATTTAGTTAAGAAAGTATATCTCAAAAATCGTTTAAACAATTTTAATGATTTTTATGTAGTATGATCATCATGTTTTAAGCTACCTGAGAAATAAATTGCATTCCCATACCATTGTTATGATGGTTTCTATAAGAGGTAGAAGTTGGGCCTGTTCATTTCTAGGCTACTGACTTGCCGATTCAGTTAAAATTGTATATCTCAATAATCGTTTAAACGATTTTAATCATTTTTATGTAGTATGATCATAATGTCTTAAGCTACCTGTAAAATAAATTGCATTCCCATACCATTCTTATGACGGTTTCTATAAGAGGTAGAAGTTGGGCCTGTTCATTTCTAGGCTACTGACTTGCCGATTTAGTTAAAAATGTATATCTCAAAAATCGTTTAAACGATTTTAACCATTTTTATGTAGTATGATCATAATTTCTTACTTTAACTGAGAAATAAATTGCATTTCCATACCATGGTTATGATGGAATCTATATGTGGTAGAAGTTGGGCCTGTTCATTTCTAGGCTACTGACTTGCCGATTCAGTTAAAATTGTATATCTCAAAAATCGTTTAAACGATTTTAATCATTTTTATGCAGTATGATCATAATGACTTAAGCTACCTGTAAAATAAATTGCAATCCCATACCATTCTTATGACGGTTTCTATAAGAGGTAGAAGTTGGGCCTGTTCATTTCTAGGCTACTGACTTGCCGATTTAGTTAAAAATGTATATCTCAAAAATCGTTTAAACGATTTTAATCATTTTTATGTAGTATGATCATAATGTCTTAAGCTACCTGTAAAATAAATTGCATTTGCATACCATTCTTATGACGGTTTCTATAAGAGGTAGAACATGGGCCTGTTCATTCCTAGGTTACTAACTGGCCGATATAGTTAAAAATTTATATCTCG